TACTGGTTCAGGGTATTTAGGGTAGTAGGCAATGCCCTTTTTGTATCCATATATTTCGTTGCATCTTGTTACCAATAGGGAGCTCAAAGGCGTTCGCCTACCCTTCCTTCAATGAACTGATACTGAAATTGACACCTGCTAATATGTAGCACGATAAATGCTCACATATACAGAGACAGCACAGGCCTTAAAGCCATCAGTATAATTTCAAGCTAGTATGTACAAAACTTCGGACAGAAATTGTGTAAAGGTGGGTTGAAAAAAGTCCTTCCATATAAAGCGATAAAATCGCTGACATGATCATAGTGTGGAGTCCCAAACTCCAGGTGCGGTTGGGGAATAATCTCACATGCTCAAATAATCCTACTATAGACAGCTGATTAGTCAATACATTTTACAGGATGATAACGTCGAAAGTTGTTCTTCTTTTCGGTAAAGTATTTGAAAGTTGTGGATAATATACGTCCTTCTCTATGACCAGTTTATTCATTGAAATACCTGGGATTATATTGAAGGTCATGAAGGTCATAATGGACTCAGTGCCCACCAAAATAAGAAAAGAATTTTGATTAAAACTTTGGACTTTGTGTCTACGTAAAGGTCGTGAGTATGAATACGAGATATGCAGTTAGAAGCAGTAATACGGTATAACTATATAAATTTATATGACATAAATGTCAGATATATTTCACTATGAACCGCCTAATTCATCAATGATCAGGGGAATACCTGAATCCAACAGCGATTAACAAGAAAGTGTTAAGTATGGTGCAGATAATTTTTTTCTGAATTGACGGTTATTCACGTATAAATGTTTTACTAAAATGTTTTCAGTAGCGGTTTTGTTTGAAATCACGAGGGCTCGCGGACCAAGTAACTACTTTGGCAAATTGCGGTTGACGCCTTCAGAAGAAAGAGTTAAGCATTTTTGCTTTTGAGGCTCTGCAGACAGGCATTTACCGTTTCAATAAATCCGAAAAGGGTTTCGTTATACCGAAAGAATATCTCTAACCGTTTTATAATGATTGGTCATACTATTTGGACTGGAAATCAGCATTGATCAAATGTAGGAAAAAAAGTGAAGATGTAAAAGGACGGATATTAACTTACGAATATGGTTGGGGGAGCCGGCAGCCCTCCGCTTTCTCCTAATTGGAGCCTTTTTCGTCGATGAAGTTGCTTTTTGGCGTCTGGCAGAGCCAGTGTCATCATCATCGTCATCAGCATCATCCGCATCTTCATCTTCCTCAGCCTCAGCGGAGGCATCCGAATCAATTGATTCAGATTCATCATCGTCTTCTCCAACATCAGAATTCCCTGGTTTCCAGTCATCTTCCTCATCGCCAGCAATCATTGAGCCTATAGTCCGAGTAAAAGGTTTTTCAGCAGGAAATCCGAAGCAAATTAGGGGCATACTTGTTGATGGGTAGTTAAATAGTCAGCAAAGCCATACAGAAGAATAAGAACTAACCTCTGTTTCAGCACATCCGCA